TATTTTTTAATGAAAGAGAGGAATAGTGCTGTAAAACTGTGTCATTACATTTTTATACCACAATAATGCTAAATTAAAAAATAAAAAAACCTTTCTGGTTGTTGCTGTTTTAGCAACGTGGAAAGAGTTTACTTTCTAATCTTTAAAAAATCCTATAAAATTGGAGCATTGGGCAGTGCCACGCTAAAAATGTCTAATGCGGCAGCTCTCCTGGTTCAGTCTTTGCTGTGAAATTTGTTTTCATCTAGATATTACAGAAAGAGCCATAGAAGACAACATGCGGACGTGGGTGCTCCTAAGCATATTTCTCTTTCTGCCCATTGTGGTTGGGTCAGCCGTCCTGATTGTCAAATGGGCACGAATCAGCAACTACTTCATAGAGGACAGCGGGTCCCTAGGTGATTCTGAGTAAGTCACAGTTTATCAGGGCCTGCCCTGTACACACCTGAAATCTTCTGGTACATCAGCAATTTGGACAAATAGGACCTGCAACAGAATGCAGTCTTTTTCAGCCATGGCCACCTCCACATGCCCTTTCCCCTCTCACCCACTTTTGCATTGGGCTGTGGGTTTTTTGTGGGGGGAAGTCCCTTGCTTAGGGATTTTTGTTGTATTTCTGCAAACCTTGGGGTTCATCTGAGCCTGCTGATGCGTCAGAGGTGCCATTTTAGCTACATAATAACACAGATAGGAGTTTGCTGTTAGTATATCTTGGGGGGGGGCTGTATATCCCTCCAGATGTGGTTGACCATACTGGAGGGAGATGATGTCCAACAACAAAAGAAAAGCAAGGATAGGAAACCTGTGTGGTTGTACTGCAACAACCCATTATGGCTAGTGGTCAGGAAAGATGGGAGGTGTAGTCCAGCAACCTCTGAAGGGCCATAGGTTGCCCACCCCAGTACATATAATAATAATTAATTTTCAGACTGTATAGTAAAGCTAACTCCATGACAAAGCCAAGGTATGCTTAACTGTATATAATTGAGGTTAAGTACCGGTAACCTTAGGGACGCAGGTGGCACTGTGGGTAAAACCTCAGTGCCTAGGACTTGCCGATCGTATGGTCGGCGGTTCGAATCCCCGCGGTGGGGTGAGCTCCCCTCTTTCGGTCCCAGCTCCTGCCCACCTAGCAGTTCGAAAGCACCCCTAAGTGCAAGTAGATAAATAGGTACCGCTTTATAGCGGGAAGGTAAACGGCGTTTCCGTGTGCTGCGCTGGTGCTGGCTCGCCAGAGCAGCTTCGTCACGCTGGCCACGTGACCTGGAAGTGTCTCCGGACAGTGCTGCCCCCGGCCTCTTAAGCGAGATGGGCGCGCAACCCCAGAGTCGGACACGATTGGCCCGTACGGGCAGGGGTACCTTTACCTTTACCTTACCAGTAATCTGAATTCTCATTACATTTCAGATCTTATACTAGATCCGATGAATATAGCATGTCAGACAAAACAAGGTAAGCTTCAACTAACTTAAAGTATACTGATTAAAAACAAACTACCGTATTTTTCGTTCTATAAGACGCACCAGACCACAAGACGCACCTAGGTTTTGGAGGAGGAAAACAAGGGAAAAAAATATTCTGAATCTCAGAAGTCAGAACAGCAATAGGGATCGCTACGCAGTGAAAGCAGCAATCCCTCTTGCTGTTCTGGCTTCTGGGATAGCTGCGCAGCTTGCATTCGCTCCATAAGACGCACACACATTTTCCCTTACTTTTTAGGAAGGAAAAAGTGAGTCTTATAGAGCAAAAAATACGGCAACTTTCCTTTTTTTTAATTAATATTTATTAAAGTTTCAGAGAAAATAGAATCACATTAATAAACAAAAAAAATTAAAAAGAAAAAAGAAAAATACACAATACAAAATACAAAAAGAGAAAAGGAGGGGGGGAAAACAGTTAAAAACAATTCCGTCTTTTCATAACTTCTTTTACATTTACTTGTTTCCCGGACTTCCTCATACCTCCCTCTTTTGTATTCCAATTCAGTTTGTTAGTCCAGCAATTTCTTTCCCTCCTTTTTAATCCCAATCCTTAATCTTAATATATTATAACATTAGATTTTTATCTATTTAAAACCAATTTTCCCATTCTTTTAACCTTTTTAATCCTAATCCTTAATCTTGATATATTTATAACTTTAGAACCTGTACAGCTAGAAGCCACTTAACTTCAATCCAACATCACTCTAACATTCATAAAATACGGTAACTTTCCTTCCAGAGCTGGCTGCAGTCTAGAAAAGGATCACTCCCTAATTTATTTCCTCCCTTTGTGATAGTGAAACGTGGATTGAATTGTCTAGTTTTCCCCACCAATTAAGGAAGGACTGGGTTTCTCTGCAAAATCTGCATGTTATCTTTCCTTCCAAGGAGCCTCAAGGGAACACACAGTAAAATAAGACCTGAAAACAAACATGGGCAGAGCAGTCTTTTACTCTGATTACTCAGGGGTTGTGTGTGGGGGTGGCCAGAGAGTGATTCTGTTGCTCTGCCAGCAAAGTAACTGTCATATCTACTATTCAGTCTCACTCTACACCAGCCCAAAAATTAGAAGTCAGCTTGGGATGTGAGGGCGATCTGGCTGTGACATCTGTCACCCCATTGATCACCAGGGTTGATTCGGCTGATCTGGCAGCTAGGCGGGTGTCCCCTTCCTCCCTCACCGCTCCATGTGCATCCCTCCCGAAGCTGCACACTTGGTGGAAGAGGACGGCCCTCCCAGATAGAAGGAGTGTACCGTTATTCGGTCAAGGGTATACAATAGCTGTGCTCCCCTGCTAGAACCTCCAAACAAGCTCAAAAATTAGAAGTCAGCTTAATAGTCACAATAGACACAGCATTCCTGGAAAACCATCAAAGCTTACCAATCCTGGACTCCACCAGCAATGATGCCCACAGGCTGCCCCCACATGCACCACTGCATCATCAGACACACAGTGTGCATCACAGTGTCCCCCAATGGCACAGATCCAGTGGCACAGCCAGCAGTCAGCCCTCTACTGCTTGTCTCCAGGCACCCCTACAAGCCAGACTGCTTGAACTCACAGCTGTTGTTCTTTTAGCACAACACACAAAGGGGAGGAAGGAGAGCCCCCACAACGCAGCACCCATATAGCTCTGGGCTTAGAGGGCCTTCAAAGAGCATTCACATTCGTCCTGAGCCGAGACTAAGGTTCAGGGCCCACCCAAGGTCATCCAAGGCCAAGAGCGGAAGATGCAACAGGCAGAGTCACAGACACCCCGCAACAGCCATCAGCCTCCAGTTGATCACTGCACTGAGTGACGGATTGTGATGCAGAAGATGAGAGTTTGTGCCACATCAAGGTTGAGGTGGAAATACCCTTACTCAGCTTTTGTATACCTAACTGGGGGGAAATCCAACAGTGATGTCAGGGGTAAAAGAAAGGGAACTTTTAGGAGGCTGCCAACATGGATTCCAGCCCAGGGCATTTCCTGAATCAGTCAGCCAAGGCAACACAAATGGATGACACAGCTCATGGGGCATTGATTTTCCCTGAGACCCTCATCATTAACACCAAGAGGAGTCAATCAATACCTTAGAAAGTGGTACTATAGACAGCAGATTATTTGGGCAATTTTTATATTAGGGCACCAGCTTGATGTTAGGAACACTTTTGCTATAACACAACCCCAAAGAGGTGGGCCTCACTTGTGGTTGACATGGAACATGAGTTGGGATAGATCAAATGGCATGAAGGAATCAGTCGCACAACCCCAAGCCTTTCTAAACAAGGAGAATTTTTGCTCGTCTCCTGGAGGGGACTGTCAGGCAGGATTCCAAAGAATTTAAAAAAAAAATGTTCATGACTTCTGCTATTCTATGGGAATATATGACTATGAGTCTCCTTAAATTATATAAATACTACAACTACAAACAAAAGACTCATTAAATACTGTCCTATTAATGACAGCGATGTTTGCTTTTTCTTATTTTCTTTTGAATATAAGAATTATACATTCTTATATTATTATTCATCATTACTCAATTTTAACTGTATTTGGTCTGTTTAAAATATAGGATAGTATCCGTTCTAATTGTTTAGATACTGTTTTCTCAATTCGCGTGGTTTCATCAATTCAAAAATGTTAAATGGCACACCTAAAACTCTGCCAGTCTTCACCAGTGTGGTGCCCTCCAGATGTTTTGGAGTGCAGCTCCTGTTGGCCTCAGCCAGCTTGGCCATTTGATGCCAGGGCTGAAGGGAGTTGTGGTCTGAAACATCTGGTGGGCACCACGTTGGTGAAGGCTGAACAAAGCAGTGACAGGCTTTGCTTGGGAAACTGTTTTATAACAGCAGCAGCACTTCCAGGCAAAGACCCACACTAGATCTTGTCTCTCATAGAAAAGGTACAAAGCAGGGCCAGTCCACCCAAGAGGCAAGGTAAAGTGACTGCCACAGGAAGCAGGATTCATAGGGGCAGCAGATCTGGCCTCCAAAGTACGCATCACCTCCTCCTGCTGTTGTGGTGGCAGTGACAGCACTCCTTGGAGGCCGGATCTGTGCTTTCTTTGGCAGCCCACCCCCCATGCCACCTCAACAGCAGCCTCTTGGTGAACAGGTCTCCTCCGACTCTTGTTCCCAATGCACAGCTTTATTCGCCCCAGTTCCTGATGTAGATCTTCACTCAGCCCTTCCTCCCTGACAGGCAGGAGGTGCCAGTCTGTGGTTTGCCTTAGGGGCCAAAGTGTCTTGGGCCAGCCCTGGTACAGAAAGACTATGCAGGGAGTGGAGAGGCTTCTATGGGAGAAGATGGTTTTTCCAATGTCTTCTCCATCTTTCTGGGTGGTGCTAAGGAAATGCAGATGCACCATTTTGCCTCATTTTGCGGATTCTCCTTATTGTATTGCTCCATCATGTCTTCTCTCCTCTCTCCCTCCTGCTGCCCCTATCATGTGAATAGCTTGAGCAACCGAGAAGACACAACGTGACCAGACCTGGGCCAGGCTCCTGCTGTTTATATGACTTGTAGCTGCCTAATAAATTACTGCTTGCTTATACAGTACAGGTGAAAGGTATTCTGTGAATGGTTCTCCAGGTCCTTCTTTGCATTTGTATACAGCATGCAGGGGCTTCATTATGGGTTGGCATCAGCAGGTGCAAGCTGAGACTGCAAGTCCTGCCAATTACCCATCAAGGTAAAGGTAAAGGGACCCCTGACCATTAGGTCCAGTCGTGACCAACTCTGGGGTTGCGGCGCTCATCTCGCTCTATAGGCCGAGGGAGCCGGCGTTTGTCCGCAGACAGCTTCCGGGTCATGTGGCCAGCATGACTAAGCCACTTCTGGCAAACCAGAGCAGTGCATGGAAACGCCGTTTACCTTCCTGCCGGAGCGGTACCTATTTATCTACTTGCACTTTGATGTGCTTTCGAACTGCTAGGTTGGCAGGAGCTGGGACCGAGGAATGGGAGCTCACCCCGTTGCAGGGATTCGAACCGCCGACCTTCTGATCAGCAAGTCCTAGGCTCTGTGGTTTAACCCACAGCGCCACCTGCGTCCCTGTTACCTATCAAGCAAAGTTTGTATTCTTAGGCACATATCCAAGCATTCTTCACAGCTAAGTTTGCCCCCCCCCCCCCCAACAACCAGCTCTTAGGCTTACCAGCTGCGTGGAAAGCAGAAATGAAACCATTACAGCGGTACCTCGGTTTACAAACTTAATCTGTTCCGGAAGTCCTTTCTTAAACCAAGGCGCGCTGTCCCTAATGAGGCCTCCTGCCACATGTGCCCTTCCACCATTCTGATTCCGTTCTTAGACCGAGGTAAAGTTCGCAAACACTACTTCCGGTTTTGCAGAGTTCGTAAACCGAATCATTTGTAAACAGGACTGTTCTTAAATCGAGGAACCACAGTACTTTGTCCCCTTCTTCCAGCTTTACAGTGATTTTTGTTTGTGAATGAAACTTTGTCGCCTCGCACACTACTGCTAAGACAGGTGATCTGGGAGGGAGGAGCAGAATGGCAGCACAAATCTTATGTCCCAGCCAACCTAATTTACTGAGGGCAGCTCCTCTTTTCTGGTACCTGTTCTGGTAATTTGGGTTTGAGGACTCATTGAAGCCTGGCGCAAACACACACAAAAGGTGGCAAAGCAGGGCTGGTGTGGGGTGTGGCCTGGGAAGATGCTCAGATCTAGAAAGCCGCGTGTGATCTGGAGCCTGAGATTCCCCATTCTGGGTTCCCTCTAGTCAGGCCTCCCGTTATCCAGAGCCACCAGCCTGATGTCTGTGTCTTTGATCCCTTTTAAACCATTCCAGGAGCTGGCTGCTGAACAGTTTGGGTAAGATGCTACCTAAGAAATAAATAAATCTTTTGTGGGGCGCTTTTGTCTAGAGCAGGCATAGACTGAAAATTCTCATACTGCCTCTGACCTTCTGGACAGTTCTGAGCAAAATAAGACCAGTGGCCCTGTTGAGGTAGTAGTGGACTAGAAAAGGCCCAATCTGATCACCTTCTGGAGCCTGAAATCAAAATCAGGTGCAGATCAGTAAGTGGCCTGGGTCACGTGTCGTGCTAAGACAAGCCATGGTTCTCCAGGGTTTCAGACAGGGTCTCTGCCTAGAGACAAATGGATGTTTCCACTGATTCAGCTTTAACAAGCGTGTGTTTTTTCGGGCAAACTGCTCTAACACAGAGTGTTAAAGCATGGGCCCTGGACCTCTGCCTGAAAGAGTGGGACCAAAGATATGTGTTGCTGAGGCCTTAGTTTTCAAAGGAAGAGAAAGGGTCAGCATCATCAAAGGGCAGCCAAGGGGAAAGGGTGGAGCAGGATGTGTTCAAGGAGCTGAGGTGTTCAAGGTGAGACAAAAGTCATGGGTGGGATTTTCTTGGAGCATGAGCACTGAGAAGTGGAGGAGAGGTGCAAGATAAGGAATGGGAGTTTGTTTTGACTCTGGGAGCGATCAGGAAGCCACTGCGTGTGAGGTGGAGTATTGTGTGCTCAGAGAGAAAAGGGAGTAATGAAAGATATTATTAGCATCCCACAACGAATTTGAGGTTAATTAAGCTCACTTTTCCTATAATCTCCTTGAACCTTGGCTAGTACTTTCTATTTTTTCCAGAGGGCTGTTGCAATTTGAGAATGTCAGCTATGGAATTGAGCATTTGAAAGACTCAGCTAATTATGAGCACCTGATTTATCAAATAAACAACAAAAACCTCCAGAGTCTACTTAGCAGAGAAGATTTGCCATCTACAGAAAGACCACTGGGCAGCAAGGGCGTGTCATATAAGCTGCTCTCAGATATTTCAGTAAGTGCTAAGAGGTTTCATTCATTCCTAAACAGGCCTTTAGAAGTGATTACCATCAATATTCATGTTTATTTGGAGTCCTCCCTGAGAACTTGGGTTAGTAGGCTTACAATACAGATGCAATGCAATAAACAGACAATAGATACTAGGGTGGAAAAAGGTGAATTCTCCTTTGTGTGCTCATCGCATAACTTACCTGCACTGGATGTCTATGATGTACCTGTACACAGGATACAGAGAATAAATTTTTAAAAAGAAAAAGGCAGTGGCATAGCATCGGTTGCTGGAATCCGGGGTGTGTGTGTGCATGTGCCAGGTAGGGGGAGGCTGCACGCGCACTGGGCGGAGGGATGCCAGCCCAGCCCTCAGTGCTGATGCCGCCAGAATGATTCCATCCCCAACGGAGAAGTGGAGCCATCCTGAGCCACCTGCCTGTGTTTCTCACCCAAGGCCCTTCTCTGAGGCTAGTGCAGATGGTGGCAACCTGAAAACGGGACTTTTCACAGGTGACTCCCCAGTTGTGGAATGCTGTCTTCAGGGAGGTACACATGGCACCACCACTCAGTGGCGTAGCGTGGGGGGTGCAGGGGGGGCGGCCGCACCGGGCGCAACATCTGGGGGCGCGCGCTCGCACTCGCAGCTCTCTGCCCCTACCTGGCTCACTCACTCTCTCTCACTGCAGTGCTGGCTGTGCGAATCCGATCCGAGCCGCTGGGTCGCCGCCCACTGTGGAGGGGGTGGGTGCCAGGCGTGCGGTGCGGAGAGAGAGCGAGGGACTATCTGGGGGAGAGACAGTGCAGCGGCCGCCCAGCGCAGCGCTGAGCGGGGGAGAAAACCACACCAGACCAGACCAGGCAGCAGCAAGAAGAAGCTGGCAGCGGCGGCAGGTTAGGGGTTAGGGGGCGCAAATTACTTGCCTTGCCCCGGGTTAGGGGGCGCAAATTACTTGCCTTGCCCCGGGTGCTGACAACCCACGCTACGCCGCTGCCACCATTTTCAATTTTTGGTGCCAGGGGGAAATGTTCCTGTTCACCTAAGCATTTGATCCCTAATTGGGGTCATATCCTAGAGCCGGTTGTGGTGTTCATCTCTTAATAGTGTGGCATAGGATTTATCCTTTCTATAGTATTGCCAAAGCCGAAAGGTTGCTCAGTTGCAGATATGCCTGGAAGCGAAAGGAAAGCCCAATGCTGTAAAGGAAAATATTGCATAGGAACCTGGAATGTAAGAACCATGAACCTGGGTAAGTTGGGTGTGGTCAAAAATGAGATGGCAAGAATAAATATTGACATCCTGGGCATCAGTGAACTAAAATGGACGGGAATGGGCAAATTCAGTTCGGATGACCATCATATCTACTACTGTGGGCAAGAATCCCATAAAAGAAATGGAGTGGCCCTCATAGTCAACAAAAGAGTGGTGAAAGCTGTACTGGGATGCAATCTCAAAAATGATAGAATGATCTCAATACGAATCTAAGGCAGACCTTTTAACATCACAGTAATCCAAGTTTATGCACCAACTAGTGGTGCTGAAGAAACTGAAATTGACTAATTCTATGAAGACTCACAACACCTTCTAGAAATGACACCAAAGAAGGATGTTCTTCTCATTATAGGGGATTGGAATGCTAAATAGGGAATCAAGAGATAAAAGGAACAACTGGCAAGTTTGGCCTTGGAGATCAAAATGAAGCAGGGCAAAGGCTAATAGAGTTCTGTCAAGACAACAGGCTGGTCATCACAAACACGCTTTTCCAACAACACAAGAGACGACTCTACACATGGACATCACCAGATGGGCAGCATCGAAATCAGATTGATTATATTCTCTGCAGCCAAAGATGGAGAAGCTCTATACAGTCAGCAAAAACAAGACCTGGAGCCGACTGTGGCTCAGATCATCAGCTGCTTATAGCAAAATTCAAGCTTAAACTGAAGAAAGTAGGAAAAACCACTGGGCCGGTAAGATACAATCTAAATCAAATCCCTTATGAATACGCAGTGGAAGTGAGGAACAGGTTTAAGGATCTAGATTTGGTGGACAGAGTGCCTGAAGAACTATGGATGGAGGCTCGCAACATTATACAGGAGGCAGCAACGAAAACCATCCCAATGAAAAGGATATGCAAGAAAGCAAAGTGGCTGTCCAACGAGGCCTTAAAAATAGCGGGGGTGGGAAGGCAAGCAAAACACGAGGGAGATAGTGAAAGATACAGGAAATTGAATGCAGATTTCCAAAAAATAGCAAGGAGAGACAAGAAGGCCTTCTTAAACGAGCAATGCAAAGAAATAGAGGAAAACAACAGAATAGGAAGAACCAGAGATCTGTTCAAGAAAATTGGAGATATGAAAGGAACATTTCGTACAAAGATTACCATAATAAAGGACAAAAGTGGTAAGGACCTAACAGAAGCAGAAGACATCAAGAAAAGGTGGCAAGAATACACAGAGGAATTATACCAGAAAGATATGGATGGCTCGTACACCCCAGGTAGTGTGGTTTCTGACCTTGAGCCAGACATCCTGGAGAGTGAAGTCAAATGGGCCTTAGAAAGCACTGCTAATAACAAGGCTAGTGGAAGTGATGGTATTCCAGCTGAACTATTTAAAATTTTAAAAGATGATGCTGTTAAGGTGCTACACTCAATATGCCAGCAAGTTTGGAAAACTCAGCAGTGGCCAGAGGATTGGAGAAGACCAGTCTACATCCCAATCCCAAAGAAGGGCAGTGCCAAAGAATGCTCCAACTACCGCACAATTGCACTCATTTCACACACTAGCAAGGTTATGCTTAAAATTCTACAAGGAAGGCTCAAGCAGTGTGTGGACCGAGAACTCCCAGAAGTGCAATCTGGATTTAGAAGAGGCAGAGGAAACAGAGGCCAAATTGCAAACATGCGCTGGATTATGGAGAAAGCTAGAGAGTTCCAGAAAGACATCTGCTTCTGCTTCATTGACTATGCAAAAGCCTTTGACTGTGTCAACCACAGCAAACTATGGCAAGTTCTTAAAGAAATGGGAGTGCCTGATCACCTCATCTGTCTCCTGAGAAATCTCTATGTGGGACAAGAAGCTACAGTTAGAACTGGATATGGAACAACTGATTGGTTCAAAATTGGGAAAGGAGTACAACAAGGCTGTACATTGTCTTCCTGCTTATTTAACTTATATGCAAAATTCATCATGCGAAAGGCTGGGCTGGATGAATCCCTAGCCGGAATTAAGATTGCCGGAAGAAATATCAACAACCTCAGATATGCAGATGACACAACCTTGATGGCAGCAAGTGAGGAGGAATTAAAGAACCTTTTAATGAGGGTGAAAGAGGAGAGCGCAAAATATGGTATGGTCTGAAGCTCAACATCAAAAGAACGAAGATCATGGCCACTGGTCCCATCACTTCCTGGCAAATAGAAGGGGAAGAAATGGAAGCAGTGGAAGATTTTACTTTCTTGGGTTCCATGATCACTGCAGATGGTGACAGCAGTCACGAAATTAAAAGACACCTGCTTCTTGGGAGAAAAGCAATGACAAACCTAGACAGCATCTTAAAAAGCAGAGACATCACCTTGCCAACAAAGGTCCATATAGTTAAAGCTATGGTTTTCCCAGTAGTGATGTATGGAAGTGAGAGCTGGACCATAAAGAAGGCTGATCGCCGGAGAATTGATGCTTTTGAATTCTGGTGCTGGAGGAGACTCTTGAGAGTCCCATGGACTGCAAGAAGATCAAACCTATCCATTCTTAAGGAAATCAACCTTGAGTGCTCACTGGAAGGACAGATCCTGAAGCTGAGACTCCAATACTTTGGTCACCTCATGAGAAGAGAAGAGTCCCTGGAAAAGCCCCTGATGTTGGGAAAGATGGAGGTTACAAGGAGAAGTGGACGACAGAGGACGAGATGGTTGGACAGTGTTCTCGAAGCTACCAGCATGAGTTTGACCAAACTGCGGGAGGCAGTGGAAGACAGGAGTGCCTAGCGTGCTCTGGTCCATGGGGTCACGAAGAGTCGGACACAACTAAACGACTAACAACAACAGCAAATAGTATTGCAGAATGAACACTTCTAGTATATTTTTTTTTTTGATATTTGTTTTAAACTTCTGTAATTGTATCCTTTTTATGATGCTTTATGACATTTTATGTAGTAAATGGTGAATAGATGCAAGAAATAATAATATAATAAAATAAAGCTGAATTGGTCATAAAGTGATGAAAATAGCTGTTTACTTGGCCGTTTTCCTATGTCATGAAGGCTGAAATTTCAATTCGGTGGAGGAGGGTCAATATATTAACTGATATGCATGAAATTTTAGATATAGCTATATAATGCCTATTATAGTAAGTTAAGACCTTTGGAACAGGCATTTTCAATAAAAAAAAATTATGAACCACCTTAATGATTTATCATCCATTCCCATAAAAACCTCTTGGTAATAATGGTCACATTTCTTTCTTCCCTCAGCATTGGTGCACACTATGGCAAACAGGAAAAGACCCTGCACCCACCGAGTGAACATGGTCATCTATTTTAAAAAAAAGAGCAGATGAAGATTGTTCTTTGACAGAAGGCATAGTCATCCATGTAGACCTGTGTCTTGGGCAGATCCAGTAATCCTAGGCTCCACTCTATCATGTGCCCGCCCTCCTCCAGGCCTGCAGTGCCTAAGCCAAATCCAAACTACACCCGGAATCAAGAGTTGGTGGGCCTCACCAAGGCAACCAGGAAAAGACCAAGGAGCCACAGAGTGGACATGGTCATATGTTAAAAAAAGCAGAGCAGATGAAGATTGTTCTTTGACAGGAGGCATAGTCAACAACTTGAGTAGGAATCAGTGAGCTGACAAACTACTTATTGATTTGCTTGCACAAAGTTTATGCAGAAGTTAGATTATATCTGGACTTTATGGAGCAATCTGAATGACTGAGCACTTTAATCCACTTTAACAGCACCAACCTAAATCTCCTGTGCACACTTGAATCCCTCCCATAAAATACCAACAAGGAGGTGGCCAGAGAGAATGGCAGCTTACCCAGACTGGTGCTGGGCTGCAACTAGGTGGCTGGCAGCTGGAGAATTCCTATGCCGGCCGCTTGGATTGGCAGGCTTTCCCACCATCCATTTATTTGATTCCTGACCAATACAGCCAGGCTAAATAAAAGGCTTCCAATTCTTCTCATTGTACTTGTATTGTTACTTACGTTTAACGCACAGCCTTCTATTACCCTAATTTGTTTTCGTGTACTCTAACAAATTAACAGTTGCACATTGTATTTTACAAGGAGCAGTTTAATTCCGCAAGGAGATTGTTATTTGGACAATATGTTTTTAGGTAATCTTTGAATAGTTTCTTTTATTTACAAATTCAATGAACGATTGTATAATAATGCATTGTATCCCCCCCTTTCTTGTCTTAATCTTTTCTTTTCTTTTTTATTGAATTAAAATACAAATATATAAACATACATAAAGATAATTAAAAAATAATAATAATACAGCCAGTCTAAGTGGGCTGGGCTTCACCCCAGTCTGCCCCCAGCCTATAAAGGCTGGCTGTGCCCAATCCCAGTCGGCTGAAGAACATTCCTCCTTTCCCACCCTATTCAGTAATACTGTGGGTTTTGTAGGTTAACCTTTTGCTTCCTAGGGTACTGTGTTTGTGGGCCCTGCTATGGTTCTATAATGGTTGCTGTTTTTGGAACCGGGAAGCAATTGGCCTGCAGACAGATTGGCCCCATCTGCAGGTGTTGCTTTCCCCATAGCAACAATCACTATTTGTTGCTATTTGTTGTTAATATCGGTTGAGAATATTAATATTTTCCTTTTCTGGTGGTTAATCTTAAAACAGGGGTCAGCAAACTTTTTTTGGAGGGGTCTGGGTCACTGTCATCCACATACTGCCAGAACCACCTTTTGTGAATCAAGAGCAGTTTCCCCTCTTTACCTGGCCTCATAGTCATTGTGGATTAGCAGGAGATGCTGCAGAATAGAAAGGAGATGCTGCTCTGCGTTGACTCATTAACTTGCAGGTTTTGCCTAAGTCTAATCCAACCTCCACCTGGAATCAATAATCCACAGGGTGGACATGATGAACATAGCTGTCAAGCGTCCCTTATTTGGCGGCACAGTCCCTTATCCCAGCGCCATGTCCCGCTGCTGTCCCTTATTGATGATGTCCCTTAAATAAGCTACTGAAGGTAATGGGGCCCTTTCTATGTCCAGCTGTGCTTTGTCAACAACAAATTGTTGCTGTTTCTTTGTGTTGAATATATGCTATATGGTAATTTATGGACCTAATAGGTATCTAAAGCCATTTGCACGCAACAAAATATGTATTTTATCAAAGTAATTGTTGATCCCTTATTTTGGCTGCTGATCCCTTATTTTCGAGGCTGCTGGTCCCTTATTTTCAAATCTGTAAGTTGACAGCTATGATGATGAACTTCATGAAGAATTTGTAGTAATTTCAAAGGTGCCCAGGGTGGACATGGTCTTATAATCCTCTTCAACAACTGAAATGTCCTCTGTCCACCAGATAAGCTCAATATAAACTTAATATAAGATTGTGATGTAAGCTGACACCCCTTCCTTGAATCACTATCTATTAAATACTGTTAAAAGTTAAGTACTATGACAAATATGAACAGTACATTGTTCCAAAATAATTATGTCAAAACATGGGTTGAAGTTTAAAAAGATATGTCAAGATGGGACAAGTTAAAATTGTCATTGCTGGACAAAATTTCAGTAATAAAAATGAATGTTTTGCCTAGAATGATGTTTTTATTTCAAACAATACCTTTTGTGACTAATGATTTGTCGAAGCACATCCATCCCTTCCTACTCTGTTCAGTAGTGCTCTGGGTTTTGTATGCTAACCTTTTCCTTCCTGGGTTACTGGTTTTGATGGGGTTCTATAATGGCTGCTGTTTTTGGAGCTGGGAAGCAATCTGCCTGCAAACAGATTTAAAAAAAACTTTATTGAAAGTTCAAAAAGTACATCATAATATGTGCACTAAGCATGGTGAGACACAAACAAAAAAGAGAAACAGAACCCTGTGTAGAAAGGATGATAAAGGGGTGGGGGGATCCAAAACTGTATATTTTACAATGTTGTTACTGTACTTCACCAGATCTTAACCTATTCCGGTATTTGTAAGAATGGATTCCAAAAATCACTGAATTTGTCCATGGCAAGTCTGTGTTTATATGCAAGTTGTTCATATGTTGGAATTTGTATAAGTCTTCAGTCCAATCACAGACGGGAGCCACATTACCCCTATTACATCTCCAACAGTTAAATACCTTTGATAGCCCTTTTTAAACAAATGTAATGGGGTCCAGTATATTCTAAATATTTTGTTGTTGTTGCAGGAGCCTCAAATTTAAGTCCAGAGACACCCTTGTTATGTTTTTTAATTTACTTAAGCACTTATTTATTTATTACTGTTTCATTGTATTTTATTCTTGTGAATCGCTTTGGGACGTTACGTTACGGGAAGTGATCCGTACACTGACAGGTAGTTCCATATTTGGTCTTGGTTTGAGCAGACCTGCCAAGCCATAAAGTTCATCAGGTGGCCTTGGGCAAGTCATGGTCTTTCAGACTAGTTTCTAGGCTTCTTTTGACTATGAATAGAAAATGAGAAATTCATGAGCTCATTGAAATAAGAATGGGATAAAGGTACCCCTGCCCGTTCGGGCCAGTCTTGACAGACTCTAGGGTTGTGCGCCCATCTCACTTAAGAGGCCGGGGGCCAGCGCTATCCAGAGACACTTCCGGGTCACGTGGCCAGCGTGACAAAGCTGCATCTGGCGAGCCAGCGCAGCACACGGAAACGCCGTTTACCTTCCGCCAGTAAGCAGTCCCTATTTATCTACTTGCACCCGGGGGTGCTTTCGAACTGCTAGGTTGGCAGGCGCTGGGACCGAGCAACGGGAGCTCACCCCGCCGCGGGGATTCGAACCGCCGGCCTTTCGATCGGCAAGCCCTAGGCGCTGAGGCTTTTACCCACAGCGCCACCCGCGTCCCTAAGAATGGGATATGAGATAGTAAATATGATTATTATTAATAATAATTTGTAGAGCAAGCATGGGGAACCTTTAGCAGTCCAGATGATGCTGAACAGCACACATTGGCCATGCTTGATGAAGCTGGTGGGATTTGTTGTTCAGCAACAACTGACGGATCTAAGGTTTCCCACAGCTGGGAAACAGTGAATTGCTTTAAATATAAGCACTATGATGTAGCTTGATTTTGGAAGACTGTGTGTAGTTGCAGGTGTTGCACATTCCTGGCTGAAATCCCACCTTAAGACATTTTGCTGCCTGTATTGAAGTCCAAATTATGTTTGTGCACACACATACACACCAGCTCAGGTGTACAACGTCTTGCTGCGCCATTCAGATACAAGAATTCCTGTCTTCATGTAATCCTCCCTGCTCTTGCAGGCCAGTTTTGCCAGGCTACAATACAGTCTAATCCATATTTATTTCGGTAAAATCCTGTTGAAAAGAACGGGACTTCTAAATAAACATGCATAGGATCGGACTTTATAGCAGCTATGCTATTCAAGATACTTATGCATACTTACCGTACTTTGTAGTAAGTTCCGCTGGACTCAGTGGAACTTACTTCCATTTAATCATTCAAATAATCAGAGTCCAAAGGTTTATGTGTAAGAGACATGGAAATGTGCTATCAATTAACACATTCAGTGTGATTCCATGACAGATTTATGACTGATCTATGAGGGTAGTCTCAGAAGCAAAAGCAAGATGGAGACAGCAGTGTGCCTGCTTTTGAAG